TGCTTCTCATGTATTAGTTTTTTTAATAAGAAGTGTTGTAAATCCATTCAAATACAGTTTTGCAAACTTTGCAACTATAAATATTACATCAGTGCAATTATTTCCTCTATTTTGGAAAGCTGTAGGCATTTTAGAAATCTCTGTTGGTTTAAAAGTAGTTGCAGTTACTTGCGATGGAGCATTGTCAAATAGAAAATTTTTTAAAATGCATTTTAATCTGACTGAAAAAGAAGATAGAAATGGTAATGTTGATGTGACTTACCGCACTGATAATTTATTTGCTGATGATGGCGATAAAAGATTTATTTCTGATGTCCCTCATTTAATAAAAACAGCAAGGAACAGCCATTCTCATTCTGGAGCTGGTAAAAGCAATCGCTATATGTGGAATCAGGTTCAACATATTTTATGGTCTCATATAACTGATTTATTTTATGAAGATTTAAAATGTCAGTTGCATGCATGTCCAAAGCTAACTGTTGAAAACATCAAAATAACTCCATTTTCAGCTATGAATGTTCGTTTAGCTGCACAAGTTTTAAGTAATTCCTGCAGTACTGCATTAGAAATCTATGCGCCATCAGATACTTCAGGAACTGCACAGTTTTGCAAATATTTTAATGATTTTTTTGATTGCTTAAATGTTCGTAATAAAAATGATTATATATTAAAACGCAACTCATTTTTGAAACCATTTTCTGATACAAATGATGTTCGATTTACATGGCTAAAAGAAAATTTTTTAAAATATCTTTCTGATTGGTTTTTATCAATTGAATCAAGACCTGGAAAATTTTCAAAAAGTGATAGAAGTAATATGTTTATTACTTGGCAAACCCGTGAAGGTTTAAAAATTACAGTTAATTCTATTGTTGAACTTGTGAGTTTTTTAATTAATAGCAATGTAAGTTATGTATTAACTGAAAGGTTTTGCCAGGATCCTTTAGAAAATTACTTCGGACAACAACGATCAGATGGTAAAAGAAAAGATAATCCTTCCTTGTTTGATTTTGGGTTCAATGATAATACCGTTCGAAATCAACATATATTTCACCCAATTGCAGGTAACTGTCTAAATATTAATGAATCAAACAGAACAACAATAAAGGAGAGTATGAGTCGTATACCACGCAGAAAATGGACTTACTCTCAAAATTCTATCGATAAGAAAAGTTGATTTTTAATATGATTTGATAAAAAACTCTCTTATGTCTCCTCGTACTGCTGAAAACAAAAAAATGCATAAAAACAGCTATTTTCATAGCCACAAATTTTTTAAAAACATTAAATGGCATATAAATAAAATAAATTGTTTTTTGTTTGTTTTACTTTTGTTACAATATAAACCTATGCTTTTTATAGAACCTCTAATTTATAAAGATTTATATAAATATTTTACAAAACCTTTAATAACTGCAATTTTATATGGAACCATAGTTAGGGGTGAAATTCTTAAAGCTTTTCTATTTTTCATAGGTACCACTGCAGGCCAACACCTCTCCTCCAAAACCTGTCATTAGGGCCCCACAGTTTGAAAACATATTTTGAATATTAGCAATGACATTTGCTCCTCAAGTTTATTTATGGGCTCTACAATTTTATGGGCCCTAAAATTTTCTACCCACTGATTAAGGGCCTGGGGGAGCCTATATATATATATGTATATATATATATATATATATATATAAATATATATATATATATATATAAATATATATATATATATATATATATATATATATATATATATATATATATATATATATATATATATATATGTATATATATATATATATATATATATATTTATATATATATATATATATATATATATATATATATATATATATATATATATATATATATATATATATATATATATATATATATATATATATATATATATATATATATATATATATATATATATATATATATATATAAGGGGCTGTCCATTAATTACGTCAACAAAATCGGGGGGAGGGGGGTCTGAAGTTTTTGAAAGTTGTTGACACGGGGGAGGGGGAAGGTCAAGTAAAGTTGACGTCAACAATGTCTTTGTTTTTAAAAATTTCATTACTCAAAAAACAGAAAATTAGGCGGTATTTTTTTCATTTGAGGGGGGGGGGGGGATAATCAAAAGTTGACGTAATTTTATAGGGGGGGTCTCTAAAAGTTTGACAAATTGTTGACAAGGGGGAGGTAAAAATTTCAAAAAAATTTGTTGACGTAATTAATGGACAGCCCCTAAGAGAGATAGAGTTGTTTCTAGAAAAGTGGGGAGGCAACAGGATAATTTTGCCCTAGGCCCTAATGATTTTAGGGACATCAGGCAAAAATCAAGGACATTCTTTATATTTTGAAACACCAAATTTGCCTCTTACTCATCAATAAGGTTGTTGTGTAGAGGCAGGGCTATTATAAGGTATAACACCCCCTCCTCCCACCCCATCTAGATTTGTAGCCAACAAGTTGACAAATTTGGATCTAGATGTCAAATATAAAAATCAAGAACTTTGTTTTTAAGTTAGAAGATATGCTTATTACTCCCACCCCCAAAAAAAAATTATTTGCACACAAATAAATCTGGAACACATGAATAAGTAAGAATAACAAAAAACTTTTACTTTGCACCTATTTATTTAGATGTATGGTGTCATAATCTTGACCCAGTTGAGCTGGGAGAGGCCCATTTTATATATAATCTCAGATATAATCTGATTAATACAAGAGATGACTAGAATTTTGACATTTGGGTAAGATTTAATAGGCCAACTAGGATACTTTTTTTTTCTTTTAGGGGACTAACTTAAAAAATTGATTTTGCCTAGCTAATTATACAAAATATTTTGCCCCTGATTATATAAATCTGGCACAAATATACACACTAAATAAACACACATACACACACACACACACACATATATATATATATATATATATATATATATATATATATATATATATATATATATATATATATATATATATATATATATATATATATAGCATTTGTTGTAGGTTGTTCAAACCGAGGTAGGAGGTAGTATCACTAGCGATAGTATCACAATAAAATTATATATATTATATTAGGAGTCTATTAGCCAGTCAGATCAGAAAGTTAACATGAAAGTTTTTGTTTATTATAAATTTAAAACTATTATGTATATATTATAATTTTGTACTACTATTTCAAAAGAGTCCTTTGGGGTTAAGGTCCTAAATTCCTTATCAATCACTTATTGACACAAACAAATCAAAACATTTGACACAAAAAAAAATCTTTGAAAAAAAAAATATTTTTTATGAAAAATAAATAACAGAGTTACTATGCCAATTATGCTTTTATGAAATTTGTTGCTATGAAAATAGCAGTTTTTGAATGTGATATTTCATTAAACTATTTATTCGAATCCAATAGATGTTTTTTTCATTTTTGAACGGAGTGATTTTGACTTTGTTTGATTTTCTTTAAGTTTGTGGATACTTAGTTTTTCTTTTGCATATGAAAAAAATCTTACTCTAACATAAAGTGTAACTAGATGATAAAACAAGTTTAAAGACAGTTCTTTGGATACTTGATTTGTGCAAAGACTACGAAGTTCAGATATGCTTGCCATAACAACACTGTTTTTTAAAATTTCTGTTACAATCAGTTCTGAATCAATTTTTTTTACAAAACCATTACTTTGTTGGCGAAAGAGAACCTCGACTTTGGTAAAGATCTCTAAAACTGGAGGAGACACTTTCCACAAACCACCGCGATTTTTTGCATTTACAAATTTATGGTAAAACTCAGTGGATGGTTCAGGATTCTTTAAAAAATTTTTAATTTTACCAGCATTAAGAAGTGAAAGGCAGTCTGTGCTTAACTTTTGCTGCCATAACCGTGAACTCCGAACTCTGCAATAAAATGTACTGAATACATAGCCACTTAAATACAAGATTATTTCTTTATCTCAATCTGAAAGTTCAAAAGATGATAAATCATTTAAATTTATTAAAGAATTATTGTAAAATGAGTTTGTAAGAAACGCTAAAACATGATTGCATAGTTCACATCCAAGAAGTCTAGTTGTTTTTTTACTTACATAGTTTATGAAAATATCACAATTAATATCTTTGTAAAATTGAGGATAAAACTTTTCTGCATCACCATTAGCTTGAAAACTGGCTATTGTTGTCTCTAATAAAGATAGGGTTTGTTGTGAAGTTTCTAATAGCATTGCATGATTTATTCTCAACTCGTTTCTATACAAATCAGGATAGCATTCGTCGTCAATTAAAGTAGTAATGCTTTTATCAAGCAGACTTTTAAACTCGCTAAGAAGAATAGGGGGTTTAGGATTTTGTAATGTTAAGTCCGAAGGAATACCTTTATGCTGTGAGTTTGTATGCCTTGTAAGGCCTCTTTGAGATATGCATTTCTTAGAGCAAATTGTACAAGAAAATGTGCTTTTAACTGGTTCAATGGACAACTCCAACACCAAGGCGTCTAAATCTTTATTAAAATTTTCGTCTTGAAAGAGGAAATCGTCCTCCAAAGAAAAAAATAGTGTTTCAATATCAAATTGGCTATTTAACTCTATGTCCGTTTCCATATTTTGCGCACTCTGTTCGTGGCCGTTCGACAGTTTTCAAGTGTTTTTAACGAATATTAGAAAAATCAAATAATACGGCCCGAGTGACCAGACTATCTATTTCTTATGACTATGATTATAGCAAGCTTTCTTTGTATTTGAAATGAATGTTTACTTATATCTAAGGTATTTAAATTCGGTTTATTTTTTGTTAGTGCTTTTTTTACAAAAAAAATCACAAAAAGGAAAATAGATATTTTTTCAAAAACCCCCATTCAATCATTTTAATTTTAACAGATTCGAGTTAAGAAAAAGTAACACCTTTCAGACCTACTATGTGAAAAAATTGGGTACAAAAAAAAAATTTTTGATCATGTTCAGGCCCACTGTGATAAATTTATATGTAAATAAATACTGTACTTTATCTAGAAGCTCTTTGAAACATTGACACCAAGCTCCGACATAAAACAAAAAAAATTCTGAGCCAAATAAGTTTTTCTCCATGAAACACGCACATTTTTCACTAATTACATGGTGAGTCCAGTGCTAAATAAAATAATAATATACTGACTTAAATTATAAAATATTGTTTAAATTTTTTTTATTTAAAGTCAAAAATTAATAAAAATAAAATAAAAATTATTTAATAAAACTTTAAATTATTTTTTTACTGTATTTTAACTTTCTTTTAAAATATTTTTTTTAATCTTTAAAATATCTTAACTAAGGTAAATGAAATAGAAAAATTAGGTAAAACAATAACAAAAGTTTTAGATTTCTTTTGTTCTTTTCAACTTATTTCAAGTATTTCGTTTGATCGTTACGTTAACTATTTCATGTTAATAACTTTTATTAAGTGAAAACCTTTTGCAAACAATTTATGATCATATTGGAAAGAATGTTTTTTTGAATAAGATTATATAAAAATTTTATAAAACTCATATCTAAATATAATTTATGTATATATAAAGCTGGTTGTAAAATCTAAAATTTTTGAAAAGTGTAAGTTTTGCCATAAACAATTATTCATTTCATGGTGAAAAACAATTAAAATGCTAAAAAGACCTGGCATTTTCTTCAATCTCAATCCTATTGCAAAACATTAGGCAATCGGAAAGTTTGTGAAAGTTTTAAAATAATTTATAAAAATTCTCGGACATTCAGGAAATTTTTAACAGTTCAGGAACATTCTAGAAGAATACCCATTTTAAATACAAGTTCATTTCAAAACCCAGTTCATTTGTCAAACATTATGCAGCAACTAGATTTAGATTTTTGCTGTCACAACAAAAAATTTTGATGTTTGTTGTCACAAAAAATACTTAAACATAAAACTTTACAGTGAAGTTTTAACACGCATACAAAAAATCACTTGGTTTCAAAATACTGGTTTCTTTCCACTTGACATCAATATAATCAATCAGCCAAAATTACAAATTGTTAATACATTTAAACCACCATCAACCTGAGAACTTGTCATCTCAACCACAAGAACCTTTGCCAGTAATGGCAACAACCAATTAGAATAGGTTGCATATCATCACTTTTAAATTCCAAATTCAACTTGCTAATCAACACCTATTATTGTAGTCCAGCTCTATTCAAAAAGAAATTCAAAAAGAAGTTAAAAAACAATTGCAATCTACCCAATTGCATGCCAAAGCTTTGCATACGTTTTTTGCACCCAACATGTTGAGACAACAACAACAAAAAATGCAGATGCACCAAGAAGCTGACAGCAAAAAAATAACATTTTAACTTTGATGATGAGCAGAAAATAAATCATACAACTCCAAAAACAACTTCAACAAAAGCAACAACAGCAACAACTCCAACAACAAGGGCCCAGGATGGAACCTTGGGGTTCCCCAAGATTCCATCCTGAGCCCTGTTTTGTTTCTTATCTACATAAACGATCTTCCTGACAACCTTTCATCTAAAGTAGCTCTTTTTGCTGATGACTCAACTTTATACTCCTGTGTTGACAAACACTTCTCTTTTCGATCGCCTAGAACAAGCAGCTGATCTTGAATCCGATCTCACTTCAGTAATAGATTGGGGTTCACAGTGGCTTGTGAATTTCAACTCTAAAAAAACCCAGTTGCTTACTGCAAACAACTACCGTAATATGGTCAACATTCCTATATTAATGAATGGCAATCCTCTTACTGAGTCCTCCTCTTTACATCTTCTTGGATTATCTACCTCTACAAATCTCTTATTCGTCCCTGTATGGAATACTGTTGTCATATTTGGGCTGGTTCTTCTAACGATTCACTTTCTCTTCTTGACAAGGTCCAAAAACGCATTGTAAATGTTGTTGGACCTGGACTATCTGCTAAGCTTGAACCTCTTTCCCATCGTCGTAAAGTTGCATCTCTTTCTCTTTTCTACAAATACTATCATGGTCACTGCTCAAAGGAGTTATCATCTCTAGTTCCATCAACTAAAATTCATTCTCGTTTTACTCGTCATTCAGCTAAGTCTCATTTGTTTACTGTATCTGTCCCTGCATGCTCTAAAAACTTTTATTCATCTAGTTTTTTTCCCCGCACTTCAATCCTTTGGAACTCTCTCCCATTTTCATGTTTTCCTGACTCATACAACCTTCAACTTTTCAAGTCTTCTGTCAACCGTTTCCTTGCTCTATAACTCTGTTCTTTTTTTCCTAGTAACTCCCAACTTGATAGTGGTTGCTTGCAGCCTTGTTGGGAGTGAATGCAAATAATTAAAAAAAAAAAAAAAAAAAAAAAAAAAAAAAAAAAAAAAACAATAACAGCAGCAACAAAAACAACAACAACTCTAACAAAAACAGCAGCAACAATTCTAACAACAACGTCAGCAGCAAAATAAGCCAAGTGTAAAAAATTTCATTAAATTTCTGGCTTCAAATCATCAAAACAGTGATAAGAGTCAACGCAAAAACTCATAATGATAAGTTTGGTCTTGTCAAACATGCATACCAAATCGCTATGTAATAAGCACCAAGTTTTATTTCACAATTAAGGTCCGCACAAGTGAAAACTCAAAATAACCTCCAAAACCTCTCATAGACTATAGATCTTCACAAAAGTATTAATTGATTGTTTTTTTAATTTTTGTCATACTTTTAATTTTTATTTTTCTAATTTATTTATTTAAATTAAATGTTTTTTTTTTAAATATTTTTCAACTTTTTAAATTAAATATTTTAATTTACTTATTAAATTAAAGGTTTTTTTTATTTAAATTCAATGTTCTATTAATAACCCATCTGATCTTAATATATTCAAATACTCTGTGCAACTTTATATGATGTGTTCAATAGATAATATGATGTGCTCATCACTTTATACAGAAATTAAAAGAAGGGTGAAGTTTAGATTAGAGGGGTTTCTAAATTATTTGCTTAGAAACCAAAAATGGCATCCTTAGTAGCAGATGAGGTAAATATTGATATTTTAGCAAATATTGATTTACAAAATCTCATAAATGGATTTAATCACCAAGATTGATTTATCATTATTTTGTAAATAGCAAAGTAGATTTAACAAGAGAAAATATTAGAGTATGCGGTATACCAAAAATATCAGGGTTTTGGTATGCCATGATACCAAACTTATTCTAACGGTTTTAAATCACTTTTTTTTTATTAAAAATCTAAATCTAAAAAAAAAAAATGATTAAAAAAATTTTAAAGTTAAAAATAATAGAAATACTTTTCAAGTTAAAAAAGAATATAAAACCTTATTGTCAATAGCATTGAAGTACAACAAAGCATCTGTGGTGAATACATAGTTATGACTCTGTTGAATACATTTAATACTAAATAAATTGTTATAAAACAGTTTAATTGATAAAATAAAAAATTTTTAAAACAAAACTAGGCTTAAACTCATAAAACAAACTAACATTAACGTCTAACAATTCAAAATTTATTTTTTGTAAAATAAAAATTCATCAATCTACAGTATCTAAATATTTAAGATATAAATGTCATGCATCATTTAACCTGTTTGGATTTTTTAAAACAAACATTTAAAAAAAGACATAAATATGTTGCTTTATTGCTTAAATTAGAAAAAAATTAGACACACAACAACACAATGAGTATTCATTGATCTTCTATAAACACGTAAAAATTAAAAAACAATAATTAGAAAAAAGCAGTCATTACATTAATCATTACAATATAACAGTTTTTAATGTTTATGTAAATTTTTATTGCTTTTTTTATTTATGTGAATAGTTCTAAAAAATTTTTTTCTGAAAAGTTCTAAAAAATATTTAGATTATATGAAAAAGTTTCAAAATCAGAAAAAGTTACTTATTAAAAAAAGGTAAACCAAATTTATTTTACCTTTTATGCATTCCAATCAAACTTGATATATTAGCAACTAAAAGTATAATAACCATTGTTGAATAGAGAAAAACTAGGTGAGATTGAAAGTGCAAATTTCATGGCTGCAATCTGGGTCAAGTGTGTAGCAGTGACAAATCAGTGGCCTAAGTGCAAAGGTTGGCAAACAAACTTAAAAATGCAACTGTGTCTAGAACAACAGGATTATTATTTTATTATTTGTTTGCATTTTTGTTGCTACTTCTGAAAATATGCAACTTTTTTTGGCACACTTATGTCAGTTTTTGTAATAGCTTTTTACTTAAATTTAAATTTGCAGCTATGAAATCCAGACTTGAGCACCAAGTAATAAAAAATCATTATAAAATTATGATAAAAAATTTCTCAACTATTAAATTAAAATTATATAAATTAAAAATTAAAAACTAATGTTTTTGCACATTATATATAAACACTTTGTTTGAAAATAATGGTAAATGTTTTAATAGTTTTTTATATTTTTTACATCATTAAAAAGTATACAAGACTCACTGAATTCTCTTACACAGTTAAGTAAAAGAAACTGGGAAACTTATAACTGATATAACAAACTCTGATACAAACAAAGTACAATTTATTCCAGAAATGTGAAAAATGTATCCAAATAGAATGGAAAACTTTAGCAATAAATATATTATATTTTTATATATATTATTATTATAATAAAATATTATAAAATATTAGTTAATAATAATATATTATTATTATAATAAAACACACAAATCTTTTTTTAATAATTATTGAAACTTATTTTTATTTATTGAATAAATAAAAATAAACTACAACTGGAATTAACTACAACTTTAAATTAAACACAGAAACTAATAGTGAAATCTTTTTTTAAGAGGCACGTTATTTAATTAAATTTATTTATTTAATTAAAATTATTTATTTATTGAAACTTATTTTATATAAACTTATTTTTATTTGAATATTGCAGAAATTAGAAAAGACATTTTCTTTAATCTACAACTTGCATATTTTTATCTAACAAGTTCACTTCTTAAAAACAAACCTTAACCCTGACCAAATTGACTCCTTAACCCTGGATGTCAGAACCCTAACCCTAACCCTGAATGACAGAAGCTCAGCTGTTTTTTAGTTTACAAACTCCACTTCTTAAACCTGGATGTCAGTAGTCCAAGTATTTTTATTAATTGTTTTTTTTAATGCACATTCTTATTTTAGATTAATCTAATATAGAAGATTAATTTGTGGAGAAATTTATTCGGCCAGCATTAAGACAACCAGCTATCATTAAGACAGACTTAAAGTCTCAGCATATAACATTTTATGAAACAGTTTTAATTAGCCCATAAAAAAACTTCCAACTATGATTATGAAGCAACAATAGTTGCTAGAAATAAACTTCAAATTAAGAAATCTTGTAACTTTTCTTTTCAAATACAGCAATTTGCTGTATTTGAAAAGAAAAGTTACAAGATTTCCTAATTTGAAGTTTATTTCTAGTCAAACATAGGCTGCTATCAAACTAGTCATTTATGTATTGTAGATAAATATGTAGCCTTATGGTTGATTATATGTAGCCTTAAGGTTGATTATATGTAGCCTAATGGTTGATTATATGTAGCCCTGTGGTTTTTCGATAATGTTAATTAAAAACAGGGTTAGGGTTAGGGATAGGGTTAAAACTTTTTTATACCTTCAAGTAGACACTATCAGAAGTTAATTGATGTCCTTCAAAAATAAAATTTCTGGTTAATCATCACTTTTGAAAAATTCATACAGAATGCAACAACAACATTAAAAACATAATACTTTCAACTTTACAATATGAAGGGGGTAAAAAAAGAAAAAATATATATTTATATATACATATATATGTATATATATATATATATATATATATATATATATATATATATACATATATATATATAAATATATATAAACATATATATATATATATATATATACATATATATATATGTTTATATATATATATATATATATATATATATATATATATATATATATATATATATATATATATATATATATATATATATATATATATATATATGTATATATATATATATATATATATATATATATATATATATATATATATATATATATATATATATATATATATATTAGGGGCTATTCTAGACTGTTTTCGATAGTGTTGATGGTAATTAGGTGCCGCACAAATTAAAATTTGAGGACCTTTTTTTTTAAAGCTTTTTTTTTACATTTTTATGGCAAATATTATTTTTTTCGCAAAAAAAAATCCCCGGAACGAGGGGGTACTGCTGTCCAAATTATTTTCCTAGAATAAGCCCTGTATATATATATATATATATATATATATATATATATATATATATATATATATATATATATATATATATATATATATATATATATATATATATATATACACACAAATAGTATTGCATACTAAGGTAAGCAATCTGACGTCATACTGAAATAGCCTGCTGCTGGAGGCTTCAGTACATACATTGACTGACAAATAGCCTGACTCACAGTGAAGTGCTGCTACATCGACTGAGGGTTTGGGATGGGGCAGCAATCGTTTTATTTTTTTTTTAAAAAAGCCATATGGGTTAAGGTAAGGAAAAAAAGTGAGCAAATGCTTATAAAAATATGCTTTAGTAAGTGAATATATACATACATATAGATATATGTATATATATACAAACGTATAGATATATGTATCGAATTCTAAGTAAAACTCAGTTTACCCAATTTTTCAACCAAAATCATATTCACCAGTGTTTTCATTGTTTTATTTTTTTCTTTCATTTAATACTTTATTTTTTTTTTAAATAATAGAAATATAGTTACTAATTAGTCAATGAAGTGACATCTAAAAACAAAAAGAGCAAATAAACAATAAACAAACGAACAAATAAGAAAAAAAGTATATACATAAAAAAACAAAAAATACAGTTAAACCAATAAGTAAAAAATAAAAAAACAAATAAAACAACAACAACAACTAACTGCTTCCACATGAAAAATATGGAGGATAACATATAATAACTAAAAATCACTAAAATTAAGTCAAAATAAATAACTCAATAAAACTATTATATTTATATTATCAAAAAGCACTAATTAAATATAACTATAAACAAACGAATGAGTTTATGAAACTTCTATTTTCTTTTATAAAAATGTTTTTTATGATCATTGCTATTATGCATATATTTAATATATATATATATATATATATATATATATATATATATATATATATATATATATATATATATATATATATATATATATATATATATATATATATATATATATATATATATATATATATATATACATATATATATATATATATATATATATATATATATATATATTTTAATGCTTTTACTTATTTAATTTTAAACAAACTTTCTTTCAACAAGCATATAATAAGTAGTAATGAACACTATTTCCATTAAAAGCAATTACAAAAAAAAAAAAAAAAAACTAGGAAAAAAAAGACATTAAAACATTTGAAAAATTTTTATTCAAAATTAAAGTTCAAAAGTTAGTAATAAAATATTCACTTTAAATAACCACTTAGATATTCACTTAAAATGATTACTTAAAAAAATAGTCTTTTAAACGTAAACTAGGGCACAAACCCTCAACTAAAAACTTCACCTTGTCACGAGTATTTTCAAGCTTAATTATTCTTTCTTTTGAACTTATAAATTTCATCTTAAGAGTACTACACTCTTGCTCAAGTCCAGTCTGTTGTACAGTTTTTGAAGCATGTTCACTTTCTAAATTTGTTAACTTATTTGCTAATAACTTCATTTTATTCTTCAAGCAAAAACTTTTTTCTTCTATTCCTTCAACGTCATCTTTTAGCTTTAACAACTCAGCTTCCACTGCTGCAGTCTTATTTAAAATACTGCTATTTTCTTCTTTTACAATAAAAAATAAGTTAAAAAAGAAATTAGAGCATTAATAATACATTATGAATTATAATACACAAAACAATAATAAATACAATCTAAAATTTAATTGTATTAAAAAAAACTGAAAGTTTATCCACCACCAATATTATATGGAAAGAAAAGAAAAATATTATTTAACAAATATTTTATGAAGAGAAAAAAACAATTTTAATTAATTTTGTACACTGTTTATGTCATTTATTAATGTATACAAATAATGTCAAATGCATTTATTTTTTTCACTTTTCTGTCAATTGAGTTGTTTTTGCCTTTTCTATACCTTGCTATTTATTTTTGTCTAGCTAATGTATGTAACATAATTTTAATAATAAAAATAATATTAGGGTTTAATATTGTATATTATATATTGTTTAATAGTGTAGGTATATTTTTTTTATGTAAGTTTGCATTTATTTTGCTTATTTATATTTGTCTACAGAAATCATTTTCTCTCACTCTATTTTTGTGAACATAGGTCATTTAAATTTGTGTTTTTTTTGTGCATTTGTTTTCTCACTTAGTTATTGTTCACCTTACACCTTTAATATTATTGTTCTGATTCTGATTGTTTTAGTTGTTCCTTTGATATTTTTTTATTACTTGTAATATAGTTTATTCTCTTTATTATTTCCTTGTCTTGATATTTTTTTCCTTCATTTGTTTATTTTAAGGTGTTAATCCACTGACTAGTTTTTAATTATAAGAGTGACACCAAACCTACTTTTGTAAATTAAAATTAAATTTGTAATTTTTAACTTTATGCTTGAATAAATTGATAAATTTTTTTTTAAATAAAGCCTGTACACTATTTTATGCTGATCACAAAGATGTTCTCAATGCTTTTCAATTGTTGGTAAAGGTCTCCCACACAATTGCTCAAATTTGTGAACGAATTTAGCAGAAGTTGTATCAAAGGACTCAGTGGCAGCTAAAAGAATTGCAGCATAAGTCATTGCCAACAACAAAGCTTCACCCCATGGAACAGTTCCTCTTATTAAACCTAAGGGAATAAAGTGCCATCTTATTACAGTTCTTCCAGGTAACACTGTATTAGATATCTAAAGTTTTAGCTTCATATAATAAGTCTATGTAATGCATATTAATGTAAAATCCAACTTAATTATTTCCAAGGTTCATCTTCAATAGCAAGAATACTTTCCAATGAAAGACCAGAACTGACAGCACAAAAAGATCTTATTTGTGTACAACACAACATAGAGCTATCCAATGTGTGAAAAAGCTGGTGTTAACACTAAATTAAGTTGTTCCAAGTCAGATTGTTGAGAAGAACTTTCTTTCTAAGTTTGAGGTTCATCAAAGGTTCTTGCACAGTGTGGATCTTTAAGAACTTTTGAATCAATCAAAAGAGATAATCAAGCATTCAATGTGGTTGGTACTAACATCAAGAAATCAAGTTCATTCATGCACCAATCATCAATGCCTCAGATGAATCCCTTTTCCTTGATGTGCTCCACCCATTGAGCTTCATCTGTTGCTTGGTGTCGTAAATCATCTTCAACAGCCTTTCTCAAAGATTTAAACACATGCTCCTGATTAGTTGGCATTACTTCATATTCATTTGGTGGGCAACTGGCTAGAAATAAATGCAGGAAGCTTTGAAGAAAGTGGATGTTTTGGAGAGATTGGCCCAGCAGCTATCATTCTTTACAGCTTTTGTCTTTATTGACACGCTAAGAAAAATCAATGGTGCTGTCCATGCTTGTTTTGGCAATAATCTTGATGACAGATATGCTGAAAAAATTGAGCAATTTGAATTTCCTATTTACAATTTCAGTACACCACAATTACTCTCAAGGATCGTGCTGTTATTCACCATGTTTTACAAATCAACTTTTCAGTACCCATTGCCAAAAGTACAAGAGACCAAGCAACCACATAGAGTATGAAGACAAACTGTAAAAATGCATCACAGACTGACAGACTTTAAAAGCAAAAAATTTGAGTAAGAATATTACAAATTAAAAATTATTAAACATCAACCCTGACTTCAGCAGCAAAAAAATTTATTAGGAATATTACAAACCAGTTTAGACATTTTTTCTCAAAAAAAAAACAATTAGAATTAAAACTTTACTTTGTCAGAATTAAAGAAAACTGTTAATTACCAGTGGATTTACTGCATAATTATTTTTGTTATATTTTTAGGATGAATAAAAATTCTTGAAATCAACTTTGTTAGTTGCTTATTAGCTATGTATTTAATGAAATTTTATGCCAAATTTAGAAATGGATTTTCTTCCATGGATTGTGCAACCAGATTTATATCCCAGTAACCAACCAGACTTATATCCCAGTTAGGGGTCGTCCATAAAGTATGTACAAATTTTTTTCGATAACCCCGCTGCATTTTACCATATGCTTTTTTGAGTACCCTCTAACTCCCTAAAAGTACCTACACTTTTAACCTACCAACCCAATATTTTATGACATTTTTTTAAATTTATTGTCTCAATACTTTTGTAATTGACCTACTGCTACCCCATTTTATATACGCCATTTGCAAAGCCTTCTTCCTCACTGAACATACATTCTTTATGGATGATCCGTAAAAGATTTCTCTGGATCAAGACAGTTTATTTTTTTTAAAACAACGATGTATACACAGTAAGAAATATAACACTAACATAACGGTTACATAATGGTAAGTGAAAAATTTAGTGTTATGTTTACCATCATGTTAGTTTAAAATATGTCTTGTTTTAAAGCGTTACGCCTAGAGTGATTTACATAGGCCTAAAGTTATTTTTACGTATGCCTGGAGCGATTTCGGTTAAGCTACTTTTTATGAATTTTTAACTTTTAAATTAGCGGTAACATAAAAGTAGTAATTAATTTTTAAAAACACCACATTTACTTTTGAATAACAATATGTAAAAATATTTTTACAAAAAAGAAGTTACATTAAAAATCATTGTAGTAACTTTTCATCGCAATACATCTTACCTTTTTATAGCAATTAACTTTACGCTAAATTTATATTTACCAATATGAAAAACTGCTCGTCAATCCTTAACTAGAAATTTTTTGCAAATGTTTTTAATAAAAAGTAGTATTTTTTTTAAAGTTTTCAGTAAAAAACTTTAAAAAATCTACATAAGATTTACAATTAACTGTATCTTTTATTATGGCAGAACACCCTAACAGTTGATCCTTTAACTTGAGTTTTTGCTAAAGTTGCAGTATTTATAGTTTTAACTGAAAAACATAAAATCAAACATCTTGAAAATGAAAATCATAAGGTTTTTTTGAATAAATATCATGTTAAATCACTAACTAACCCTAGTAAATATGTTGCAGACCAGAAAATTTGTGTGTTTGTTGCCACAGAGAAAAAGCGAGTCAAAAAATATGAAAACTTGCATTAAGTGCATTGAGGTGTTATTATATTTTATTTAAATTGGTATATAAGTGGTAGTGGTGTAGTGGTAAAGCGCTCGCTTTGTAAGCGAGTGGTTTGGAGTTCGACTCCCACTACGTCCCTGGAAGTACCACGCTCAACTTAATTTCTCTGCGCAGCAACCTTGCTTGTCAAGGTTCGTGTTTCGAAGTTAAAGAGTTGAGAGAGGGTTGTACCACGATTTACAACAAAAAGAAAAAAAAAAAAAAAAAAAAAACGAGTAGCCTCCTCAACTGTAGTGGCCCCCTTGGGCCTTGGGTAAATGAATAAAAAAAATATATATATATATATATATATATATATATATATATATATATATATATATATATATATATATATATATATATATATATTGTTCAATAAATAAATAAAATTTTTTCTTAATAAAGATTACCTTATATTTATCCTTTTTATATTTTATTATTCCAAATTAAATTGCTAACAAACAAAAAAAAAAAAAAAATTTTTCTTAATAAAGATTACCTTATATTTATCCTTTTTATATTTTATTATTCCAAATTAAATTGCTAACAAACAAAAAAAAAAAGAGTTTTGTAATTATACATAGAATAAAATTACTTTTCAGTTTATTTATAAGTTAAGGAACTTAATTTTTAATGAACAAATTTTAACGAATGTTCATTATTAACAGATACGATTCAAATTATTAAATATACTTATACTGTTTTTGTTGAGTATTTTTTTAAGTTTGCATGATTAAAGTAATGCATAGAAGTATTTTGTTTTAAGAATAAAGTTTTTTGTTTCAAGAATAATTAACAAAAGAGTTTGCATAATTAAGACTTTTATATTAAATTTAATTTTTTTTTTTAATTTCAAAAAATTCAAAAAAAAAAAAAATTAATTGTTAAAAACCTTCGACCATATAAACTGATCAGTTTATATGGTCTAATCAGTTTATATGGTCGAAGTTAAAAACGTTTTTTCTCTATAGCTCTGTATTTTTTTGTGATTTGTTTAAACTGTAAAATATTTTAGGGGTATTAATTCATCAAGGGGTGAACAGATTCTATCTGTTGACCAGCCTCGCACCCCTTCCTCATCTATAAGGCTGGCGCAGATGTATTTTTAATACCTTGTTTCCAGTTTAGGATGTTGAATGCTGGATGTTCTTGACTCGATGCGTGGGTATTGCTTGTGTCTCTATTTTTATGACTAGGCAACTCATTCTATTATCTCCAAATGAGGGTACAGCTCTAAAACTCAGTTTTATGGTTCTGAGGCCAGCTGGTAGTCAGGTTTCCCGAACTCTGTAGTAGCTCTCAGAGAGGCTGAATCCATCAACAGCTGAAAAATACTAACAGTGCATGTTGCGCATGGATGGTGTCCTTGTTTGTACTTTTGGTGTGCATTGCCAAGACCACATTGGAGCCCTTTGTTACGGCTTAGGGTTTATTATTAGAAATGAGGCAATTGCTTGGGCTATAAAACAGTGTACTGAGTACTATCTATGTTTCGAGTCAAGTTCTTTAACAAATTTAAAAATGAATAAAGTAACAAAAACTATAAAATACAAAAAACCACAGTCATCACCAAGTTCACTAAACCTATCATTCACTAATATTTGCGGTCTTCGAAGTAACTTTTCTTCTGTTGAGTCTTATCTCTTGCAAAGTTCACCAGACCTACTTGCTCTTTGTGAGACTAATTTGAGTTCAGCTGTCTCATCTTGTGATCTTAGTGTTGATGGTTATCTTCCTTTAATTCGTAAAGACTCCAATAGTCACATGCTTGGGCTAGGCATTTACATTCACAAGAACTCACCCATTTGTCGGGAAACTAGGTTTGAATCCACAGACTGCTCTTTTATTTGCTTTCGTTTAGCACCACTTTACTCTATCACCTTTCTCTTTGTTCTATATCGCTCTCCCTCATCTCAAGACTGCACTCTTCTTGATGTTATTTCTGATCATATTGACCACGCCCTCTCTCTTTATCCATCAGCCAATATTGTTGTTGTCTGTGACTTTAATGTTCATCACACTGAATGGTTTGGCTCTAGTGTCAGTGACTCTGCAGGCATAAAGGCCCACAACTTTTGCCTTTCTCTATCTCTAATTCAAATAGTCAACTTTCCAACTCGCTTTCCAGATAACCCGAATCATTTACCTTCTCTACTCGACTTATGTATTGTTTCTGATCTAGTCAGTGCTCCACACTCACCTTTAGGTGCCTCCGATCATGGTTTGGTCTCTCTAAAACTATTATCTCATTCTTCTTTATCATCAGAATCCCCCTATCATCGTACATCTTACAACTACCTTAAAGCTGACTGGGACTCTTTTTGTGATTTTCTTCGTGATGACCCCTGGGTAGAAATCTTTTGTCTTCCTATTGACAAATGTGCTTCTTACATAACTTCGTGGATTCAGGCTGGCACGAAATTTGTTATTCCCTCTCGACAATTCCAGGTCAAGCCTCACTCTTCTTCATGGTTTTCCTCACATTTTACTGCTGCAATTGCCAATCGAAACTATTACTTCCATATCTATCAGCAAAACAATTCTTCAGAAAACAGACTTCTGTTTATTACTGCTAGGAACCATTAGGAAGACAGTTCTCTCAGAAAACGAACAGCTATTTATTATTGCAAGAAATTTCTGTAAAAAGGTGCTTTCAGATGCTAAGCTCCATTATTCTCAGTTCACTAAATCTTGTATCTCAGAAGTTAGGCTCTAGAAACTTTTGGAAAACCTTTAAGAGCACCATTAACAAAGTAAGTTCTAACATTCTGTCTCGCATTCATGGGAATAATCTTATTACCTCTTGCTAGGATAAAGCAAAACTGTTTGCAAAGATTTTTTTTTTCAATAGGACTCTCGAATCATGTCTCGTTCTACTATTCCAATTAAACAGGTTAACCCATTGTTAGATATTCAAATCTCTCCAGCTTCCGTAGCTAAAATCTTATCTCAATCAAACTTTTCTACGGCTTGTAGTCCAGACACATTCCTTTCATAGTCTTACAAAATTCTTCACTAGAACTCTCTTTAACTCTCTCAAAACAATTTAATAAGTGCTTGACTGAGTCTTGTTTTCAAGCCTGCTGGAAAATGGCATCTGTTATTCTAATTATAAAAAACTCTGGCGAACTTAAACCTTATAATTATATTCAAATCAGTTTTCTTTCTGTTATTAGCAAGGTCTTTGAGTAAATAAATTAATTACTCACATCCCATTTTGAATCAAACTTACTGTCAGACATTCGATACAGTTTTGATCCTCTTTGGCTGACTTGCTGACTGCTGTGACTGAAAGATTTTATCTTGCATTAGATGGAGATGGAGAGGCTAGGGTTATTTCTCTGGACAAAAATGTTTAGCATGCAGGTCTTCTTCATAATTTTCATATGGTGTATCTGGGAAAGTTTTTGAAATTATCAATTCGTTTCTCTCTAAAGTCATCCTTGAAGGCCAACACTCTTCTTTATTTCCAGTAACTTCTGGGGTACCTTAAGGTTCTATCCTGTTTTTTTTTCTTATCAAAATATATACATACATTAGCTATGCTACTGTATCTCTTTTTTTCTCTCTCTCTCTTTATATATATATATATATATATATATATATATATATATATATATATATATATATATATATATATATATATATTATATATATATATATATATATATATATATATATATATATATATATATATATACTAATTGAATTAATTTATTACATAGATTAGTTGAAATAAAAACAAAATATATATAAATTACCTTGAACAAGTTTTATCTCTTTATTTATTGATTGAAATTGTGCAATATAATAGTGAACTTCTTTTTCTTTATTTTCAAGCCCTAATTGAATTTTGGAAATTTGAACTTTATCAATAATTGACAATAAACTTTTGTTCTGTTCTGATCCTGTTATTTGACAGTTACATACAATACAATGAGTTTGTCCAGGTAAACAAGATAAACAAATAGAATGACCACAAGGGACAATAATGTAAGGCTCATTTTTTTCTTTCCACATTAGAGCGCCACATTTAGGGCAAAAATGGTTAGGAATATCTTGATTAGACTTAAAACATTTAGATGATCTAGATTTTATATTTTCAGAATTTTCAGAAGAATACCTAACAACTGAGTTACCATTATCTGTTGCATCATTATGATAAAATTGTGTTTGTACATCAGTTAAAACATTAACTGGTTTAGTGTCAGCAAAGCTTGACGTATTAATATTTAAAGAACCTTTATAAGAACAATTCAACAAATTATCAGTTAACTGATCTGCACTTGTTTTTATACCAGGCTTTATAGGAATCTGTTGTACATGGGTACTGTTTAAAGATATTTTTGGTTTTAGTTTTAGTTTGTTTTTCTGTGTCTCATGACTGTTGAGAAATTTTATTGCTTTTGTTGTTTGTGATGATTTTTTGGATGTTTGCAAAGGCGGAGAATCACTTTTCTTTCGAATAACAAATCCATTATAATTTAAATGAGTTGATGCCCATAATATTGGAGTTGATTGTTCTTGTTTAGTGAATGTAGAAACCAAGGTGGTCAAATTTTGAGAGTTCAAAGCTTGAGGGCGAGATGTTTTTGAATTATAAAGACCATCTTTTCTTTTGTTTTGTCCAAAAACATTGGCTTGTTTTCGTATTTTTTTTACAGGTGTTATAGATATTTTTGTTGTCATTATAGTACAACAACCATGATACATAAAATTAACATCAAATCATTTTTAACCATGATCAATATTATCTTTATAATAACACTAATAAAAAAATTATTATCATATATAAAGTCATGATAACATTGTAAAAAAAAAAACAAATTATTAGTACAAATGTCAGCCAAAATGAAGTATTGATAAAAATTATAGGAAAAAATAAAGTATTGTTAAAATGAAGTTTTGTTAAAAATTATAGGAAAAAAAACTATAGTTTAAAATATATAATACTATAACTTTAATGTGCGCTTTAAATTAAAATATAAAAATTATACAATATAATAGTTAATAAACACCATTGTTTTTTTGTATAAACTTGGAATTATTGTAAATTAAAAAGTAAAAACAATCAAACAAATTTATAAAATTTACTTAAATTTTCACTGAATTTTAAACACAATTAATTGATTATATAAATGAAAATCAAAGTTGTAAAATTCTTCTAAAAATATTTTTTATAAATATTTAATCTCCTTCTCATTAAAACACTACATACTTAATGTTTCTTTTCTTAATACCTCCTAAACATTGCTTTTCTACCAAACCAATTTTGCTTTTAATTATTTGCTTTTAAAAATATTAAATAAATAATTTTTTAGAAATGGAATAATAGGTGCTTAAATTAGTTAGAATAATTATAGACATGTGTCAATCTACCATACTTAGATAACTTATCAATATGTGTTAACATTCGATACTTAATAACTTGTATGTTTTATGATATGTGTTAACCTTCCATACTTAAACAACTTACAAATATGTATTAACCTTCCATACTTAGATAACATCCAGACAGGTGTCAATCTTTCATACTTACATAACTTACAGATATATGTAGTCTCCTATACTTAGATAACATCCAGACAGGTGTCAATATTTCATACCTACATAACTTACAGATATATGCAATCTTCTATACTTAGATAAGATTTAGACATGTGTCAGCCTTCCATATTTAGATAACTTAGTCTGTTAGTTATTAAAGTATGGGAGATTGATACTTATGTATCAATCTCCCATACTTTAATAACTAACAGACATGAGTTAATCATCCGTACATAGATAACTTACAGGCATGTGTCAATCTTAAATTATACTCATCGAGGATGCTTTATTTACAAAAAATAACAATAATTAAAGGTTAGGAACAAAATATTTAGGGGTAATAAGGTTAGGAACAAACAATTTAGGGGTAATAAGATTAGGAACAAAATATTTAGGGGTAATAAGGTTAGTAACAAAAAATTTAGGGGTAATAAGGTTAGGAACAAAAAATTTAGGGGTACAAACTGTAACAAACAAAACACTACACAAATATTTAATTTTTGTATTTTATTTAAAATGTTTTGAATTAAATTCAAACTATTAATTATAAAAATTATAAAACTATAAATAAACAAATAATAAATTTTACATAAAAAATAACATTTTTAATAGTAATTTAAGTAATTTTCTTATCTAAATATGATATCATGGAAGAACTTTTTTATATGATATCATGAAATTTACAACTTTACTATGAAAGGCTAAAATGGCTTTGCACTAGAAAAATCTGCACAAAATCAAAATGCTAAAGAAATAACATCTTGTGAGAGAAAGCATCTAGAGAAGAAAACATCTCAAGAAAGAAAACATTTTGACTAGAAAAACCTGCACAACATCATATCAAAATGCTAGAGAAATAACATCTTGATCAAGAAAACATCTCGAGAGAGAAAACATCACAAGAGAAAAAACATCTCGAGAGAGAAAGCATCATGAGAGAGAAAACATCTTGAGAGAGAAAACATCATGAGAAAGACAACAATTAAACTCTGAATCTGAAATTTCACCTGAGCAGCAGGCTGAAATTGAACTCAAAGGTAAGTAAACTACTTACTGCTAAAATGAAGTATTGTATCATATCATATGCTTATCAGTGTTGATCATTTTGCTGGTTTAGTAACGGGTGATGCGTAAGTTATCGGACAAATCAGAATTTAATTATTTAAGCATAATAATTTGTTTTTGTGGTTTTATTAGTAGGCATAAACAATTTATAAAATGGAAACTTTATTATTTGAAACATAACTATTTAAAACGAGGTTAAATGCAGCTGAACCAGAATCATTTTGAAAGCGATTCAAAATGTTTTTTGTAAATAAACCTAATATAAAAAAATAAGAAATTGTTAATCATTTTGAAAGGAAGGATTTGCTCGAAGTACAATATATAATAACCTAAAAAGATTTAAAACTATTTCAATCCTTTTCTGATAAAAAGTACCCAGATCATCCAACATCTTGTACTAGAAAAAAAAAAGCCAAATTAACAAGACTTGTCAACAATACATCTAAAATACGTCAGTCAGAGAAAAATAGGTTTTAAATTTTATGTAAATCAATCGACAATTAATTGTGAGTTAAAAAAAAAAGTTAAATATAGAAAACGTGAAAAAACACTAAAATTAGGGATGGCTAAAATCCCGGAAATTTTCAATCTAGGGATTGAGAAATTTGTCCCCGGGAAATCTTGGGATTGAATAGAAAAAAACGCAAAGGGGTTGTCTATAAATTAGGTAACGCAAAATAATAATCATCATCACAATAAACAAAACAAAAAAAGATCAAAAGTTTTCCCTTTTAGAAAAATAAAAATTAAAAAATAATATAAATATGCATGACGTTAAAGAAAAAACTTTCGTAAATCACTCATTTTCATAAATCACACATATGAAAATTAAAATAAATGGATATAAAAATGAAATTAAAATCGCGCATTCTTTTAGAAGCAGAAAATTCAAAATTAAATTAATATATACCTTCTATTAAAAACTTCTTCTCTTTCTTTTTTTACTAGCAAGCGCTTAAATTTTATTTATTTTTATAATATACTAGTTTTAATATTAAACTATATATTATATATAGTATAATATCAAAACTAGTATATTATAAAAAATAACAAAAATATAAGCGCTTGCTGGTGGAAGGAGCAAGAGTTTTAAATAAAAGTTATAAGTTAATTTTATTTCATTAAATATTTTGAACTTTAATTATATATGTATATATATTTTACAGGTAAGCAATAATGTTTTGAGTTTTTTTTTTTCCCGAAATCCTGGGAAATTTCAGAGTCCCGGGATTTTGGTATGAACAATTTGTTCAAAATCACTGGATTTCAATATCCCGGGATTTCGAACAAATTGTTCATCCTAAAATCCCTTTTAGAGCAACAATTAAAGGCAAAGGAAAGAAGCAGGAAACCAGTTAACCAACTAGTTTCCTGCTTATTTCAATTTAGTTTTTCAATTTCCTGCTTCTTTCAAGTTAAGTAATGACAAAAAATACTTTTGTTTTGCAGAAGACATCATGGCTGGAAATTATGGATATTACACAAACAACAAAAAAACATGTCCAGAAAGTGTTCTTTTTGTAGGAAAAGAGAAATTTAACCTCATTAGGGATAACACCCATTATCTCTATGAGTTAAAACCAGTTGCTCACCAGCTATTAAACTTACAAAAAGAAAAAACTTTTGATAATCTTTTAACCTTTTAAACCAGGTTGGCACAAAGAAGTAACTAATGACTACACAAAAATATCTCTTGACCAGGTTGACCAAAGAAGTAACTAATGACTGCACAAAAATATCTCTTGACAAAGTTTTCTACAAAACCTTGCAAAAAAATAAAGCTAATAATTTACAGGTTTAATAGAGTGCAATATTTATGCAAAGAATGTAAATCTAACTACTTATTAAATATAACTAGGTATGGCAATCCCGGGATCCCGAAATCCTGGGATTTCGTAAAAAATGTTTATCCCGAAATCCCGGGATTAGTTTCCGAAATTTCCCGGGATTTCGGGATCATCAAAAAAAAGTAAAGGTTAATAAAGTTTAAGCTTGTAGTTTAGTAACTTTTGTTAATTTTTGTTAAAAGGTAGTAGTTTGTAGTTTAGTAATTTTTGTTAATTTTTGTTAAATTGAAAGGTTAATAAAGTTTAAGCTTGTAGTTTAGTAATTGTTGTAATTGTAGTTTAGTAATTTTTATATTGTCTTTGGTAGCTATTGGTTTTCTATTGTCCTTTTAAAACTCTCATTTTCTGTATTTTACTAAAAAAAAAACTCAAAACATTATTGCTTGTCTGCAAAATGTATATATATATATATATATATATATATATATATATATATATATATATATATATATATATATACATATATAATTAAAATTAAAAATATAAAATAAAATAAAATTAATAACTTTTATTAAAAACTCTTGCTCTTTCCACAAGCAAGCGCTTATATTTTTGTTATTTTTTATAATATATTAGTTTTAATATTATACTATATATAATATATAGTATTATATTAAAACTAGTATATTATAAAAATAGATAAAGTTTAAGCGCTTGCTGGTAAAAAGAGCATGAATTTTTAATAGAAGGTATACATTAATTTAATTTTGAATTTTCTGTTTCCAAAAGTATGCGTGATTTTATTCTCGTTTTATATCCATTCATTTTAATTTTCAAATGTGTGATTTATGAAAGTTTTTTTTAACGTCATACATATTAATATCATTTTTTAATTTTAATTTTTATTTATACTGCGTCACCATTTTAAGGTATTGTTTTATATAATACTTATAATACTTATAAATTATCATTAAATTAATCATTTTTAAGTGTTTGATAAGTGCTTAAAATGTATTCAATTGCATTTGCATTTTTTTTCTATTTAATCCCAGGATTTCCCGGGGACAAATTTCTCATTCCCGAAATCCCGGGATTGCAAATTTGCGGGATTTTTGCCATCCCTAAATATAACTGCGTACTTTTAATTTAACTTATTAATTAAATAATACATCTAGATATAATTTACTTATATTCTAAGATACAAACATACTGTTGATAATTATAAGATTGATGATGAGTTTTATTTCAATTAGAAAAAAGTGTGGAACATATTTATAACTAAATTTGATGTTACTTAAATTTTGAGCATATCAATACTTGTGTAAAAAAATAAAATCGAAGTTAATAAAAAAATAGTAACCTTCATAAACTTTATAACAACCACATAACTTTTGAAGAAAAAAAAAGACTTGTAATACATCTAATTTGATAAATAACATTAATAAAATGCTATGCAATATTTTATAAAATTTTAGAATAAATTTAAAGAATATTTGTAGAATAAATAAAAACTTTAGTTAACATGTTTCTTTCTTTTTATATTCATAAATTTTTTATAATCCAGCTATATTTATTTCAATAAAAGTTTGACTCATTTTATTGACATCAATAATCTCTTCATAACCTTTATATAATTTGAAAAAAAAACTCTGCACTAATTAATTTTTTTCGAATCTTGGTGCTCATCATCAGTTGCTGTTATGATTGCTTCATCAGCTAAAAAAATAAAAATAAGTTACAACCAACTAATTACAATATAAATATAACATAGACTAAATCAAGTAGGGCAATCATATACTTTTAATATGTTCTTAAAACACACTCTCAAATCTAAGACCCTAAAACAGAAAACTTGACTTAAAAAAAAGCTAAACAAAGAAACCAATCAAAATAAGTATCATCAGAAACATGGTCAGTCCCTGTTATTATCAAGCATAGTATGTGATTGGTCCTTCAATCCTTAAACACTTTCATTAAAGTAGTTATTATTGACGTATTAGCGCATTGGAATACCTCTTTTTTTTTAAATTAGTAAAAAAATGACGACGGTATATAGCTTCGTTTGACTTGACTGTTGCACAGTTTGACAATATATTGTAGACTCTGAGTGGCTGAGTAAAGATTTTTTACCTTCGTTTCCATAATAAAGTCTTTATTACATGTTAGAGAATATCTAATGCTCTAGCTTTATTTCTCTTTGTTATGAACAAATTTTTATTAGCCAATTATAGAAAAACTTTTTTATTATATTTTTGTCAGAAATAAAAAAAATCAGAAATATTTTTATCTCAGAAACTTCTGTTTACTTGCATTTTATTAATTTTAATAATTGACAATAAAAACTTTTGTAAACTTTTAAAACTGCATTTGAATGAATTAAAAAGAAAAACAAAATAATAATAATTATTGTGAAATTCTTGTGAAAACTTCAGTTAAAAATACTTGCTTAAATGCATGTGTCATATTAAAAATTTTGTATAATTTTTTCACCAATTAATAGTCTAAAACATTTGGAAAATTCTGGGAATCTAAAGGATTTTCAAGTGAATTTCCTGAACTCTGGGAATTCCCAGAAAAAACTCATCTATGCATCTACCATTTTTTCTTGAAACTTGTAAAGAAAAAAGTTTTTAAAAATCCTTCCAATCTAGAACATACCTGCCCAAACTTAACACTACACTTTAATGGTAAACATATCACCAAGAACATATTAATCACCAAGAACATATTAATCACCAAGAATATATTAATCACCAAGAATATCACCAAGAACATATTAATCACCAAGAATATCACCAAGAACATATTAATCACCAAGAACATATTAATCACCAAGAACATATTAATCACCAAGAACATATTAATCACCAAGAACATATTAATCACCAAGAACATATTAATCACCAAGAACATATTAATCACCAAGAACATATTAATCACCAAGAACATATTAATCACCAAGAACATATTAATCACCAAGAACATATTAATCACCAAGAACATATTAATCACCAAGAACATATTAATCACCAAGAACATATTAATCACCAAGAACATATTAATCACCAAGAACATATTAATCACCAAGAACATATTAATCACCAAGAACATATTAATCACCAAGTGTTATATAAAAGTACAAAAGTAACAAGAAAGACGGAAAGCAGATGTTGTTAAGTTATAACAGATCTCAAAAAATACAATTTATGTTATAACCGTTATCAACAGAGTTATAACAGATCTCAAAAAATACAATTTATGGAAGTCACCATAAAAACATTTTATAACCATTTGCAATTTAGAGTGTTATGATGTAACAATTAACTGTTAAAAGCTACATAAAATTAGATTTTAAAAGTCATCATAAAATTGTTTAAAATTAGAAATAAAGTTTCTTTGAAACATTAATAAAGACTCATCAGAAATGATGAGTCTTTTTTGATTAAACACAAATGAAAAAAGTTTGATTGATGATTTTCTACTAATATGACGGCATCAGCAAATATAGCCTAATTTTCCTTAAGTGAAACATGTTAATTAAAATTGTAAAAAAATTTTGATTAATCAGTTGAAGATCTTTTGCTAATTTAAGAGCAATGTAGCCAATAAATACTTCACATGTTAGATGTTACAATTCCACGTTTTAATTTTTATAAGCTTGATTAAAGACTACACCATGCTGCTCTTCTAATTGAATTATCTTCAGGTATGGGCAAAGTAACAGTTCTTATTTTGCGTTTTAAGGTTGTTTTCTAAAGTAAACAACCTTAAAACTCTTTTTTGTCAAATCCAAGTCTTTACTATTCATGGTTTGAATACAAGATAAAATATCTTTTTGCCACATTTCCTGCTGCAACTTATTTAGTTTTTCGATTCGATTGCACAAATTTGTGCCTCTTTTTTTTCATAAAAATCTTAAAAGCCATCTAATGAGGCATTCCTTTAGAATGTATGAATGCAGAACTATATTGCAATCAACAACATATATTTTCACCGCTCTATTCCAAAGTGTAGCCTAAAAAAATTAAAAAATTAAAATCTGAACATGCAATAAGTTAAAAATATTTTTTTTAACAAATTTATGAAACATTCTTTGAGGTTTGAGTATGAACATAAGGTTAATTGAATGTTTTGTACATGCATGTGCAATACCGAGAAGTTTTACTATTGGAGTTAGAGTCGCGATTTTGTTTAGCGACTCCGACTCCACTGAAAACTCCGCAACTCTAACTCCAACTCAACAGCCCTGATTTTAACGCTAATTAAATTACTTGTAGATCCTTTTTTAAATGTTAAACTTTTTTATTATAAAAAGTGTGACAAATTTGATCACAAATAATTAATTTTAAGAGTTTAAAGTATCATTTTTTCCAAATAGTTGACGATCATTCATAACTTATAATATATTTTCATTATATAATATAATATAATGGCATTATTTCGAGCACTGATAGAATATATAGTAGATATCTATCTATAATATAATATATATATATATATATATATATATATATATATATATATATATATATATATATATATATATATATATATATACAAACATATATATACATATATATATAACTATTATATACTTTTAGATATATATAATTATTATATATTTTTAGATATATATAGTTATTATATATTTATATATATATATATATATATATATATATATATATATATATATATATATATATATATATATATATATATATATTCTTTTCACTATATAATAATATACATAAACACACATTTCAAAAAGACACTGAGTGTAAGTATAAAAGCAGTTAGGATTGCACGTAAGTGTAGAATGTTTGAGCTCAAAGAAAGCAATTTTGAGAGTTACGAATTGAAAAATCATTGTTATTAAAAATAAAATTTTATTACTAAATAAAAATAATAAAATTTTATTATTAAAGTCTTTTCATATTGAATATAATATAGCAAAATGCAATAAAATTTTTATAACTTCATATTTTTATTTATGAAAAGATTTTAAATTTTTTAGAAATATAATATAATACCGTAAAATCGCCTAAGTTTCGTCAGTTTGAACTTTGCTTTATAAATATCATAATTAATCACAGCTTTGAATCACATTTAGCTTTAAATATTCATATCTCACAAATAAACGTTTTTTCTTTTTTTTTTTTTCTAAATTATACAGACAATTATATTGTTAACTTAATAGTGAAAATAAAATAATAAAAACAAAAACTAGAATTCAATATTTAATTTTAAATAGCAACAGCTAGTTTGAACGAATGTTTATTACCATTTTATAAGTTCTGTCACAATATACAGCCCAATCAATACATTCCAATTAACAAATTGCAATCAAAACATTACAATTAACTTAACATTCAAATCAACACATTGCATTATTACAAATTTACATCCATACAACACACCACAATAAGATATCACAATATCTTAAACATATCATCAAAAATTATAAAAACTATTTTCCTAATAATATTTTATAATAAAATTATGAAACAAAATGTTACAATTTTGAAATTTTTTCAATTTTAAAATGAATTATATTAGTACTTGCTATTAAATTTTTTTTTTTTTGTGTGTAAAAGGTTTGCATGCATTTTCCACAATTGACATTTCACAACTTTTTTGCTAAATTTTGTTCTTATTGTTTAGTGACATCTTGTTGCATAATTCATAAAGTGATTGAAGTTTGAAAAAAATTTTTAAAAAAGTGACCGAAATTTAAACTTAACTCACTAATTTTGAAAAAAAAGAGTCTTTAATATTTGAAAGTCAAAATTTTGTTTTTTAAATATTGTTAATTTAGTGAACTCTAATAATACTAGAGCTAAATTTGATAATTTTATTTAATACTTTGGTTATTTCAAGTTTCAATAGTATGCACAATTTCAAAACATTTATTTTGCAAACAAATTATTTCAGCACATTTCAAATACACATCATTTTTTGCACGAATTGACAACAAGTATTATGCACGAGACAACAGATTGGAGAAAAAATTGAAATTGACATTTTTTTTTTTATGGTGACAAAATTGAGCAATTTTACGGTATTCATTTTATAATTGTTATGAAAGAAGATTGATCGCATTATTGAATGATTTTTTAAGAAGTCAAACTATCATTTTCAATTACAAAAATATTTGGTAAATATATAACAGCCATACTTCATAATAAAAACTTTTTATTAATTTGATCAAATTTATTATCTATAGCACTAAAAATTTTAAAAATAAAATTTGAAACTAATACCTTCTTTTGGTACAATATTTTTTAAATTTCTTCCTTCAATCCCATTTATATTCAATTTATCTTTTGAATGATCAGAATCTGACTGATCAGAATCGTGTTGTGAAAGCTTAGGTGCATGAGATCTCTGTTTACGCGCTTGATTAAATGTATTACAATAGCAACACTTGTATGCTAAAAGATAAATTTTTATTAAATTATAAATATATTTATAAAAATATGTTAATATTAATAATAATTTATATAATAATATACCTATTAATAATATTTAAATTCAGATTAATATTTATATTAATAATAAAAATTAATACATTTTAAAAAACTAAATCATATATATATATATATATATATATATATATATATATATATATAGGGTTCAAAATAAGCGCCAGACATCGGACATTGTCCAGTAATCAGTAATTATCCAACATATTTTATGTGCATTTATTTTCTAATCATTTTAGTTGTTTAAAAGTTATTAAATTCAGTATGGTATATAACCTTCATTTTTTGAAATTTTTATTTTTATACAAAACAAAATTGAAGTTATACACAGCGGTTACATTAACAAAATACGTCATTTTTTTTGAGTTAATTCATTTTTTAAAAGACACTAAAGCATTAAACTTTTTTGAATTAAGTAGCCTGGTTTTTATCATTAATATTAAAACATTGCAATTAGTTATTAACTTAAATTTATAGTTTAGTATTTATTTATTTTTTTTGTCAGATGGTTTTTATAAATTTAAAAATATATATAGTAGAAAATAAAACTACATGATTTTATACAAATATAGTTTGTTTGTTAAAAAATCATTTAGAATTGAAACTATACATAAAAAACCTATTTGGAAAAACTATTGTTACAACTGCGTGTCTAATCTTCAGGTTTGTGATTGCTTAATATATATATATATATATATATATATATATATATATATATATATATATATATATATATATATATATATATATATATATATATATATATATATATATATATATATATATATATACATATATATACTATATATATATATATATATATACATATATATACATATATATATATATATATATATATATATATATATATATATATATATATATATATATATATATATATATATATATATATATATGTATATATATATATATATATATATGTATATAAAATATAAATATATGTATATAAAATATAAATATATGTATATAAAATATATATATGTATATAAAATATATATATGTATATAAAATATATATATATTTATATAAATATATACTAGAGGCTTACCTCTAATATATATTTATATTTATTAATTTTGGAGGTACTTTTGAATTTTTAAAGGCGCCTGGCAACCCAGAAACACAAAAAGAGGTATCAGTTACATGGAAAACCCTGCGGTGTATATACGAAAATTACAATGTACCCATTATCTTCCATGATTCCCGAGCATTTGAAAAATTTACCTAGCTATTTCAGGGGTAGCCAGACACCTACAAATACCACTAGGTAACTATAACAATAAAAAAAATTTCTGCCACACCTCTAATAGATACTAGGGCTGTACCGAATTTCAACTCCGGCTCATGCTCTGGCCGAAATTCGGCCATTTTTACAAATTCGGCCCAAATCCGGCTCCGGCAAAATGTTAGCAAATCCGGCATAATTTCTGAATCTTGGTCAGATATTTATTACATGTTTCTTGCCCGTGATAACATGTATACTTAATATTTTATATTTACAAATCAATGTTTTTAGTAATTCTATAGGGTAGGAATTTTTAATGTTATTTCTATAAGTGAGTTAATATTTTTTAACATTTAAGATTTAAACTAGTTTCAAAAAATAGAATATAATTAAAATGATTTTCTTTTTTTAGTTTTGATATTTTTTTAACAGTTTCTTGGTTCATAACAAGTAAAATCTTGGATGCCCAAAAGGACTGCGGCTTTCTAGCTCTATTTTTTCCTGGTCTCTGGTGTCTAGTAGCTCTAAATATGTTGATTGAGTTACAACCAATAAAAAGAAATTTTTTTCAAGATTTAATGTCTTGGAACTTATTGTTTTTAGACCTGGAGTTCTTATGTCCTTGCCACCGTTACATGTAAGGACTTCGGGTTCAAAAACTAAAAGTTTTAATTTTTTCCAATTAGTCCATAAGCTTTTTCATATTTTTAGAGCTCCTGGATACTAAAAACTAGGAGGAAGTAATCTTTTTGCAACATTAAAACCAGAGTCCTTTTTGGGACTCCGTATCACTGAGTAAAATTTAATAAATGGGGTAGGGCATTATAATTAGCTCAGGGTGGGTGGGAAAATTTTCAGAAAATTATTAAAAACTAATTTCTGTGTATTAAGCATTTAAAAGTGACATTTTTTTCCTTTGATTTTTTATAAAGTTTTTAAAACAAATTAAAAGTAAATTTGACCAAGATTTATTTTCATTCCATAAAGTTTTATAAGTTTCTTGGTCAAATTTAAGTACATTTGACCAGAATTTATTTTCATTCCATAAAGTTTTATAAGTTTCTTGGTCAAATTTAAGTAAATTTGACCAAGATTTATTTTAATTGCATAAAGTTTTATAAGTTTCTTGGTCAAATTTAAGTAAATTTGACCAAGATTTATTTTAATTCCATAAAGTTTTATAAGTTTCTTGGTCAAATTTAAGCAAATTTGACCAAGATTTATTTTAATTCCATAAAGTTTTATAAGTTTTTTGGTCAAATTTAAGTAAATTTGACCAAGATTTATTTTAATTCCATAAAGTTTTATAAGTTTCTTGGTCAAATTCAAGTAAATTTGACCAAGATTTTTTTTCTGTTTTTAGAAAAGAAACTTTTCTAAAAACAGAAAATAACTGGTAATGTAGCTCGATTTTTTTATTTATTAAATAAATAAAAAAATCGAGCTACATTACCAGTTTTGAAATTGAACTCTCTCCAGTAAAATTGCAATAAAGGTCAAAATTACAGGTGTTATGTTTATTAGTAAATATTTCAAGTTGCTTTATTGTTCTTAAAATATGCAAGTGTACACATTTTCAGATTTCCATTCTACACAGAACAAAAACAAATAACGAAACCATTTTTTAAAATCGCAGATTTTTGTTGATTTTTGTTAAAACCCTTTGTAATTAGATGATAAAATTTTGAGAATGTTCTTAACTTATTAAAATCTTTCAGTGGTGTAAAAATCAGTAAAATCTAAGACTTCGAGTAGCGTTTTACAAAAAAATTGTTTTCACATAGAATCAGATATGATAACAAAGACATAACTTACAAATAAACTCAAATTCCTCAGCAAGTGCCATTCCATTGTGAGAAAAACATTGTTTACAAATTAAAGCATATCTGTTGCTAGGTCCATCACCAACAAAATACTCTGCAATCTGAAAAAAAAAATTGTGACAAAATACTCTACAATCTAAGAGAAAATTGTGAAAAATATCTAGTTTTATTTGTTTAGACAAGATAATGGATATCATATTGTTTTATTGAGATGTATTGGATGTCAGGGTGTTTTTTTAAAAAATAAAAAATAATTTGGCATCCAAGAAATTGGATGCCAAATTTTTTTTGTGTGACAAGATCATGGACGCTAAGTTTTTTTTGTGAAAAGATATTGGATGTCAGAGTGTTTTTTATTATGTTTTAAAAAAATATTGGATGCAAATGAGTTTGGATTCTCTGCAAAGGTGTTAATCAAATTTAAAGTCATAAAACCAGTATATTGTTGCACATAAAGGTCTAGAGTTTTTACAACATTTCAATAATCACACATAAATTTGTTTTCTTTTTTCATCCTTCTCCATGTATTGAAAAAGAATGCTAACAAAAAATATTCATTCTTTTTTTACTTATTTTTTTGTTTTCAATTAAAAAAATGAGGCATTCATTAAAATAATTAATTTAATTATTAAAATAATAAGTGTCAATACAGCAGCAGTAGAAGTGTAGGATATTTTTAATATTGAAAAAATAAAATCCAGTGTTTCTCAGTTTAGATACATATACAAGTTTTTATGTTACTATTGTTATTACGACATAAAAATGACTTGAAAGGAAACAAGATAGTAGAAGTGTTTAATTAACAATAACCTGTGTGCTTCTTTCTAATAAACTAAGCTTGTTTTTCATGCAGTATATATAAATAACAAAAATAAATTTTTCTAAATCAAATATATTTAAACCAAAACCATACCTTATCAAATGCTGATCTATTTTGAGGCAGAATGGGAGCAGCTATTTTATATGGCGATGGTCCCTGTTGTCCTAAAAATTTATTTGGTGTTGGTCCTTGTTGTCCTAAAATTAGACAGTTATTTAATGTTAAATGTTATTTATAACACAAAAAAATATGCTATTTGTAGTAGTTTAAAAGGTCGTTTAAAATAAAATATATTTTTAATACATTAGAAGAGATTTTATAATTATATCTATAATGCATTTAAAAAGATTTTAAAAATATATTTTCAGCAGTTAATTGTTTTACCTTAAAAAAGCAAAACATTAAATCAAAAATAAAGTTTATTTTATTTAATATTTAGCCACAATTGGCTTATTGATAGTAAATAATAAAAGATTTGTAAATGAATATACAATCTATTGAGAAAATAAAACAAAAACTTTTATGTTTGATGCATACAACATATGTTTGACGCATACAACATATGTTTGACGTATTTCAAGTAATCTTAATGGTGATCAAATATAAAAAAATTCCAAATTTTTAGTAATTCTATACCACTCTGAACATTTCAAAGAAATTTCGTAATAAATTTTATAATAAATAATCATAGCTTTTGTTAAACTATAAGTAAATTGAAAATATTTAAACCAGTCAGAAATTTTTCTAGTAAATTTATGTTTAATAGAATTGTTTCTTTGAAGTCTATATTAATTCTGCATAATAAATAGTTAATAGTAAAATGATAACAAATTTTGTTCAACAAAATTTTGTCTAAACTTTTAGAGAACGCAGAAAATAGTCATAATGGACAATAGTTACTAATGTTCTCAATGACACTACATTTTAATATTGATTTGACTTTCTCTTAGAGCAAAGCATACAGTAACATTAGGAAAAAGATTTTATTGATGTTGAAATGTTATGTAAAAAAAATCTTAGAGTATATCTTTTAAAACACAAAATAAACTTATAATCTCGTCGCCATTTTTTTTAATAAAAAGATTTTTTATATAGGATATTTGGTTTATCTTATATTTATTAATAAATGTTTTGATTAATATGTAAACACATATTAACACATATTTCTATGTTGTACATATGTAAACACATATGTAATTGTACATGTAATTGTACATATGTAAACACCAATGTATTTGTACATATGTAAACACATATGTAAACACATATTACTTGGTAAAACTAATTGTTTAACCATTTTTTTTAATATCATTTTCAAATTATTAATTATTATTGGTGAAACTTTTTGCAATCATTTCTTAAAATACACCATATTTTTAAATATTACCTGGTGAAACTAATTGTGGACCATTTCTTGAATTAACAATATTATTAGACGTGACTTGGGGAGGTTTGTTTCTTAACACTGGCGTAACTTGACTGGTTGTTATACTTGTTGTTAGCATTTTATTATCTAAATGTTTCAATGAAGATAAACTATTAAAATTAAAAATAAAGTTAATTGGAAACTTTTAATAAAAATAATAAATGTATAAAAATGTTTTACAACCACTTTGAAAAAAAGAAAGTTTTTTTAATCTTTAAACATACCTGAATCTTTAGAAGGAGTTTTATTTTCTGCTATAGAAAAATCTTGCTGTAAAAAAATAAACAACAATTAAAAGTATACAAATTTAAAAATATTCAATAAAATTTGCATAACATAAACATTTTTTTCTAACATTTAATTTATAATTATTAAAAAATTTTTAACAACGTCTTTAAATGTTAATGCCAAAAAAATAAAAAAAAATAAAAATATTTTTGTTCATTCAACTGTAGTTCGTATAACTCTAGTTAGCATAAATCTAAGCTAGAAGTAAAAAAAAAAAAAAAAAACATTTCCTAGTTTTTGATGTTGACATAATGTGCTATTAAATTCTTTCCCTTCATAAGGAGATAAGAGGAGAGATTTTAGACCTTACAAAATTATAAGGAATGAAGCCTGTGTTTTAAAACTTCTCGTCCCAGTCCTTGAAAAATGAAGTATAAATCACAGTATTAAAAAAAAAAAACATAATTTATAAAAAAAAAAATTTTTTTTGGTACTTTCTTTATTTTCCCCAGATCGGCACACTATGCGTCGCGAAGCGGAAATAGGATTTTACTTACTTTTCAGAAAAAAAATTTCAATTTTACTATTTTAAAAATTTTTTAACTGAAACAAGTTAGTATTAGTTAATAAAAAAAAGTTTTTTTTTAATTTTTTTAAATTTGCCTTTTTAGGTGCGGGATTTTCAGGGGTAAAAAAACCCATGTTTTCACTAAATCTTTAAATTACATAAGATAATTTTCAAATTTCTTCATTTTTTTTGCACATTTTCTAATAAATGATACCTTTCGTAAATTAAAAACCAAGAAAAGAAAAAAAAAATGTTTGGATCATTGTTTTTGGGTGTCTGTAAAGATTGATCGATTAGACCATGTTACTACAGAGGTAGCCAGTTTTTTATTTTTTTAAAATTTTCTCAAACAAATTGACTTTTTATAAGTGAAATAATATTCTGGCTACCTCTGTAGTAACATGCTATAAAATCAATTCAAAAGAGGTGGATTTATTAAAAACCGGTTAGTTAGTTTTTGTCAAGAAGAAACTGGATGCGGGCGGAACATTCTTTTCTAGTCTTTAAGTTAAACGTCAGTTTGGCTCTCGAATTTTTTTAAAATGGTTGCTTTTAATCTTAGCAAACTTCTGGCTGATAATTTTCCTCCAAGGCATATTTTCACAAGTAAAAATATATCTGAATGTGCTAAATTTTTGCAGTCCAAGTTTTTATCACTTTATGCTGATTGCACTGTGAATTTCAACATTTTCAAAAGTCTGGCTTTTAATTTAATAAAAAAATTTAATGAGTGTGGAAAAAGAAAAAAGTTCTTTCTTACTAAATATAAACATTTTTTGGATCAAAATCAACAATGCAAATATCTCTTGTGAGTATAATATATTCTGTATTGATTTATTATAAATAAGTAATAAATATTGCATTATAGTATATATATATAGTAATAAATATTGCATTATAGTAATACTATAATGCAATATTTATTACTTATTTATAATAAATCAATATATACTATTAGTATATATATATATATATATATATATATATATATATATATATATATATATATATATATATATATATATATATATATATATATATATATATATACACACACAAGTATATATATATACTATACATATATATATTATACTTGTGTGTGTAGATTAGAAAAAGATTCTGAAAAAGAGATTAGAATACATGAGGAAGAACTGCTATTAATTAGAAAAGGTGAAAATCTGATTAAACAGGGTAATCAACTCATCAAGCAGGGTGAGCGGAAAATAAAAGAAGGGGAATTACTGCTTCGTACTCATGGATCCAATGTAAACAGGTATGCATAGATAAATGTAACTCCCTCTTTTTATTTTGCACACACACATACATATTGTTTGACTATGTTTCACAAAACGTTCAAAATGTATATATGTTTCAATGTATTTTTTTATTATTTATAGTGTACCATGTAGAGTGCCTAAATCATCTGCAGTCAATACATCTTTTACACCAAAACCTAGAAAGTCTTTTATTAAGCTTACAAACAGGATGAAGCGTAAAAGAACAGATAGTCTTAGAGAACGAGAGGTGAAAGAACTGCAACATGCTGTCAAAGGGTTTAAATCTAATTCTTCTATGGTTCAAATTTGTCATTGCAAGCTCTTTGTTATTTGAAACTTACAGATAGAACATGGACTGAATTTAAAAACATAGTGACTCATAATCGTCATCTTGTTCCTCCAGGTTTAATCAAGTTGAAGCAATACAAAAAATTGACATATCCAGAACAGGTTGAATATTCTGAAACCGAAGTAAAATGTAGTCTTTTCCATATGATAAAGCATTCAGTTTCTAGAGTGTTTGAATATCTTTTGGATTATGAAAGTAACTGCATAATGAGTTTATCACAAGAAGAGCGTGATAATGTACAAATTATTTGCAAAGTAGGAGGTGATGGTCAAAGTGATCAATCTGAGTTTCAAAATTCAGCAACTATGAAAAGAGGTGTAGATGATCGCTCTGTGTATATTATAGTGTTTGTACTGCTGGAGATCCGAAGTGGAGAAAAAATAATATGGAAAAATTTAATTCCAAATAATCCAGATGCAACTCGTCATCTTCTTTTTTGTTTTGCAAAAGAGACCTAGTTTTATTCAGGAAAAATTTGAACATTTGAAAAATGAAATTTTTTTATTGAAGAATATTGAATTTAAACTTGGTGAAAGTACTTTTGTAGTAAAGTCTAGTTTGTCAACTATTTATACCACAATGAATGATGGCAAAACACTAAACGCTGTTGTATCAAATATGCTTAAAAAAAGAATTTCATCTCAGTCCTGCCATGTATGCCTTGCAAATTCTAAGGAGTTTAACTTGAAAACTATTTGTAAAAAAAATATTAATTTAAACAAGCATGTTTTGAAACTTGAAATTTGCAGTCTTCATCTATGGATGCACTGTATGGAGTGGATTTTCAATACTGTTTGTAAACTCCCAGCTGTTAAGCAAGGAAGAAATATTCCATCACAAAGGAGTAAAGAATTTATTGAAAACAAAAAAAAATGCCAGCATTTATTCAAGATACAACTGAATATAAGGGTTTCTTTTGTCAGGAAAGGATGTGGAACAACCAATACTGGAAATGTTGCTCGCAAATTTTTTAATAACCCGGTTGTGACAGGAAGAATTTTAAACTTGGATATCAGAATGATTAAGTTGTTTCGAGATTTACTCATTGATATAAACAGAACAACTACAAGACGGGATATAAAGATTTTCAAACAGAAATCTGAACATCTATTTGCACTCATAACTAATGATAAATTTTTAAAAACCATACCTATGTCACAATCTGTACATAGAGTGATAGTTCATGGTACTTCTTTTATAAGGTATTTTAAGTATCTTATAGTGCTATTGAAGCCAGAAATAAGGAAAACAAAACTGCTCGAATTGGTCATGCTCGTTTAACCTCTTTTGCAGAAAATACTAGGGATACAGCTAATTATTTGTTTATGACATCTGATATGTACCTCTTTTGCAAAAAAAACAAAATGGATAAAAAAAGAGTGAAAACAAAATAGTTTAAGAAAGCAAAGTGAAAGTTCTTCTGATAACTGCTTAAAATAAAGGTAAAATAGTTTTACTAATATTGTTAATAGTTTTGATTGATTTTTTTTTGGTTAGGCAATCTCATAATTTTGGTTAATTAACAATTCAAAGTTGCGTTTTTTTTTTGTTTTTTTTTATTATGTTTTTAAAAAAAAATTTAAAAAAAAATTTAATCAATTTTAACAAGCAATTAACTATTTTAGGAAGTAAGACCATGAAGAATCATACTGATGAGTTGTTCTGCGTTGAATTTTTAAAAAAACGGCTATTTTCATAGCCACAAGTTATTAAAAACATCTATTAGAATAGAATGTTGAGAAACTGTGAAAGAATGCCAAGTATCATATGATAGCAGAGTTGTTTATTATATTCAATGATACTGTTTATTTTTAAATAGTGTTCATATACATAGTTTGTAAAATTCTATAAAATATAGGCGCCTACTTTTTTTTGAATAAAATCATCCGGACTTGTGTAGTTTTTTTTCAAATCTAGAATTAGTCCGGACTAACCGAAAAAAAATACAATAAATTGTTTTTTAATGAAAACCGAATATGAGTCTTTTAAATATAGAAATATAAATAAAAATTTGATGTCTTGTCCTTCTTTATTTATATGCCTATTTCCTCATTTTGTATAAGAGCAACGCATAGTGCGGCACCACAATCTCTGTTATTTTTACTCATGTTAATGTTTACATTTTGTTTAGTTTTATCCAAAGTTCTAAATTAGCATTTAGTATTAAAAGAAATTTACGGGGTATATCTATTTTAATGTATTATTTGATAAACAAATCGTGTTTTGATAAAACAGTGGGAAATTATAATTATTTTACAAACAATTTTTGTGGTAGCAAGCCTTACAATACTTTAGTTACGAGCTATTTAACCTAAAACTATTTTATTTGAGAAAATTTAAATATATAAAAAACATGATTTTAATTTCAATTTTATGCTCATTACACTATTTGTAAATATTGATGATTAATTTTTTAAAGTATTGACAATTGATTGTTTAAAGTATTGATAATTGATTGTTTAAAGTATCGACGATTGATTGTTTAAAGTTTGACAACTGATTGTTTAAAGTATTGCCAATTGACTGTTTAAAGTATCGTTGATTGATTTTTTTAAATTGGTAGTAAATTTTTTTTAACTTTTATTATTTAACCAATAAAATCATCGCAGATTTCGAATTTTTAGTTGATTTAACTAAACAAAAAAAACTTCACATGTTAAAACCTGATTATAATGTATCAGTATAAAAAAAATTTTTTTTTCCTCCTAGCAACGCTTTGTTTATTCCATTGTTATACGCTTCAGAAACAAGTTAAAACCATAGAAAAGCCATAAAATACTTACCTAGTCAACTATTTTAAGTGCAAAGTTGTAGGCTGCAACGACTTCTTGTTAATTAGTTCAGTATGATGGCTTTATTAACGTAATTCGCTTTTTGTTTCAAGCTGCATTCAAACTTTATTATTTATGCTGTAATATATCTTTTATCTTTTTACAATAAAAATTATATGGGTGGATCGAAGAGAAAACAATTATCAAGCAGAATATACAAAATAAAAAAGCAAAATTTTGTGGAAACAGATATACAAAGATTCCTTCTTCAGAAACGAAAACTTTATCTTTTGTTGAATCTGCTACAAATTCTGCTTCTTCAAAAATATTAAATATTGCTAATAGAGGTTTTCAAGATTTTCAAAATACAGATTTTACATTTTTTATGAACTTTAGTCTGTTGGAAAAGGTTATATCGCTACTTAAATGCCCAAATTTGTGTGAAGATAATGTTTTTTTAATGTTTAATTCCTCAAAAAAGTATGGTTTGAGTATTGGTTTAAAAATATATTGTAACAATTGCAATTGGAAAACTGAGTTTTTTTCATCTGCTACATTTTGCAAAAAAAATTTACTTAAACAACAAGAGCCTAGTAAAAGCAAATGTAGTGGGCAAAAACCATTTGATATTAACACACGTGTCATTGTGGCTTTTCGTGAAATGGGTAAAGGGTTATCATGATTAGAAAAATTTTGTGGAATAATGAGTATGAAGCCACCTATGAACAAAAAAAGTTACAATAAAACTTTACATAACCTGTTAGATGTTTATCAAAATTTAGTTGACCAGAACATGAAAAATGCTGCTGATGAATTAATCCCTGCAGATGAAACATCAAGAGACATTATGTGTAGTTTTGATGGTTCATGGCAAAAGCATGGTTTTACTTCCAGTTGAATATGAAAACACATCCAGTTGAATATGAAAAGTTCCAGTCATCACATTTCCAAAAGTGTAAAATTAGTCATACTGGATCATCATTGGCTATGGAATAAAGTGGTGTTTTAAAACTTTTTCATCGTTCTGAAAAGAAAAACAATTTAAGGTATACCACATATCTTGGTGACAGAGATAGTAGTTTATATACCAGTGTTGTTGCTGCTAAACCTTATGGACATAATATAGAAATTAAAAAAGCAGAGTGCATTGGTCATATTCAAAAACGAGTTGGAACGCGTTCAAGAAACTTAAAAAAAAACAGCAAAGAAATTTAAGGTGATGGTAAAAAACTAGGAGGAGCAGGTCAATTGACAAAAAATGTTATTAAAACATTGCAAAATTACTATGGCAAAGCAATCAGACAAAATATTGGTAGTTTATATGCAATGAAAAAAAGTGTAGCAGCTGTTCTTTTTCACTGTTCTAAAAGTTATGACAATGATACACGCCATCAATTTTGTTTGCAGACCAAGGACTCTTGGTGCAAATTCCAGTCTGATAAAATAACTGGAAAAAAAAACATACAAAGAAAATATTTGTATTCCTGCTGCTGTGAGGGATTTTATAAAACCAATATTTATATATCTTGGTAGTGATGTTCTTTTACAAGTGTTTGCGCGGCAAAACACAGAATCCTAATGAGGCGCTGAATCAATTGATTTAGAAGCGGTGTCCCAAAGATATATTTGTAGAAAGAACTGCTTTATGTGTTGGAGTAGCATCAGCTGTCCTATACTTTAATAATGGACTACAATTTTTAGAGACGTTATTTGATAAGCTTGAAATAACAGTAGGTTGCAATCTACTTAACTTTTGTCTTATAAATGACTCTAAGCGCATTTCTAAAGCAGAAAAACAATGCTCAAGTATAGAAATTGAGACGCAAGAAACTAAGAGCTATACAAAAAGGTTTTTGTGATCAAAACGAAACATTAGAAGGTGCAGTTTATGGAAGTGGGGAGTTTTAAACAATTTTTTTTTTCGTTTTTATTTTTAAATTGAGTTTTTCTCAAAATCATGTTTTATACCCTGGCGACGGAGATATTTTTCAAACCGATAACCGATTTGATCTGAAATTTGGCACACTTGTTTGTAACACATGTATTTGCAACCTCTACTAGAATTATGTTTACAGGTAATTGTGTTCTACTTTTGTGAGTGATTTTGTGTTCTCAAATAACACCAAAACTTCCAAATTTTTTTTTTTTTTTTATTTTAATTCACCTCCTCAAGGCCGAGAAGGCCACTACAGACAAGAAGGCTACTTATTTGTGGCTATAACCCTCTCTCAACTCTATAACTCCGAAACACGAACCTTGACGAACAAGGCCGCTGCGCGGAGAAACGAGTTGAGCGCGGTACTACCAGGGACGTGGTGGGGAACGAACTCGGAACCACTCGTTTATGAAGCGAGCGCTCTACCACTACACCACTACCGCATAAATATGACTAAAATGCATATATTTTGACTTTTTTTGGTCAAAATCCAAAACTTTTAGTGTATGTTGTTATTGCATAAGTAAAGGATCACAAGCCAAAATTTCAGTTCAAATTTATTTACGGTTGCTAAAAAAACCCTGTCGCCAATTATTCATTTTTAGGCTTTTGTCTGTCAATAATTATGCGCATAATTAATTTTTTTAAGTTTTTAAATTTTTACTTATATTTTAATCATATAATATATGTTATGCACTATTAAAAATTGAAAAAAAAGTTAAAATGCAAATTTTTTTTTAATGGTATACTACCTTAAAGCATCAACAATTGATTGTTTAAGGTATTGATTGTTGATTGTTCAAAATATTTTAAACAATTATTTCAAAAACTTTAAACTAAGTTGCTTGTTTTTTTCAAAACACCCAGTATTTGCTTAACTTCAAAACCTGATATTAGATCTAGAAGATGCCCTTGTGCATTAATAAAATCAGTTTACTATTTCAATGGACAGTTTAAGGAACATTTGTTAAAATTCTGATTTTAAATTGCCTGATATAGTTGCATTATAAATGTATATAAAACCATTTTTAAGTGATACACTAGCAAAAGTTTAATATCAAAAGTGACTGCATGGGAGAAATACATTTTAATTATGACTACCAAATTGGTATGGTATTTGTGTTAATGACTATTTGAGTGCATAGAAGCACTGACAAGAAATAACACATGAGAAAGATGTATTAGGAAAAAAATTAGATCTCTTGTGGCAGCATTGAAACTAAGAAATTATTTACTGATTTAATGACTACTATTCCAAGCACTAAAATGTACTGTACTGTCACACCTCTGGTGATATACGTATTAAGATTAATCTATTTCTATATTTTTATTATATTATTATTTTTATATTTTTATTATATTATTATTAAGTATAATAGGTACTATAAACTGTCTTTTGCATTTTTATTAAAAGTTACTATATACTGTCTTTTGCATTTTTATTAAAAGAAACATATTTCAATAGATAAAAAAACAAAAAGCTAGCTCTTTATGTAAAGTACTTTAAAAAGCTTAAAAATGTATTCGATAAAACAATTGTACCTGGCTAATCAAAGCCACAATGTTCTCAAGTGGTGCACAGTGAGAACGAAGATGCTGTAACTGAACTTGTTTCAGTAAAGATGTTTTAGGAAGGTAATTTTTTAGGACAAGTCCTTTCGCTTGCAGTTAATAATCATAACAAATAAACTAATAAGACAAAATAAAAAGATAGTGTATGATTGCAAAAAACATCAAATAAAAAATACACAAATTGCAAAACTTAAAAAGTTCTAAACTAAAAAAAGGATAAGATAAACATGTCAAATAACTTAGGAAAAAATAATTTTTTAAACTTATGTTTTTGCAAGGTTTGCTAGAGGATGTAGCTTATGGAGCAATATAAGGGGAGCAAGATGTAGCCTATGGTGTAATTAAAAAAAAGTTTGACAATGAAGAGAATGAAAATCTAGCTTATGGCATTTTAATGATGCTATGTAAGATGTTTAAAGCCTACATAAACATCAAATCTGTGGACATCATGAAACATCAAATTTGTGAAACATCATGAAACATCAAATCTGTGAAACATTA